TTAATGTGCGTTTTCACGTTAAACTGGATGATTTTGAGTATCTTTTATTCGCCACTTCCTCCAACATGAAATGTTTTGGATGTGGCCAGGAGGGGCACGTAATAAAAATGTGCCCAAACAGGGCCGGACCGGCCCTGCCCGCTGCTGCTGCAGGAGAGTCCGCGACCCCAGCGGACAGGGAACGAGTTAGTGTTGAGGTGACAGCTGTGGACGGTGAAGCAACAAAAAGTTTGTGTGTGGGAAAAGGTGGAAACACGGAGGTGTGTGGTGGTGGGGAGAATGGTGGTGTTGTGGATGGTGAGGAGGAGGCTCGAGGGGAGGTGGGGGAGAGAAACGGAGAGCGAGGAGTGCAGGAGGGTGATGAGGAGTTAGTGTGTGGTGATCGGGAAGGGAAAGGAGAGGTGGAGGTGGATGAGGAAATAAAAGGTGCAGGAAAGAAAAATGAGAAGTCAGGAACTGGTGTGGAGGGAGAAGCAGGGGCGGTTGTAGAGGAGATGGAGCTGGGGGCCCCAACCCAGGTGAAGAAACTAGGGAAAGAAAAAATATTGAAGTTGCTACACGGGCCAGCAAGATGTGTGCAGAGATGAAGGAGGGAGCAGAGAGCAGTGACAGTGAGGGCTGGTGCTCTGACTTCAGTGAAGCCTCTGTCTCACAGGCTGACTGCACTGAACACCGGTACCCTGTAGAATCCTTCCTGTCCGTCCTCAAGCAAACCAAAGGGCTGAGAGGAGTTAAAGTCGAAAGTTATTTTCCTGACCTGAAAACGTTTTATTTCTCAGCCAGACATCACATTAGACACAAAAAAGAGTCAGGTTTTACAGATCAAGAAACATTCAGATTAAAGAAAATAATGTCAGTAATAAAGTCAGAAAACAATTCTGATCAAATGATGAACAGCAGCATTTTAATATTCCTTATAGTCTTTTTGTACACGCTTTTAAACCTCTCACTCACCATGGATGCTTTTAAAATAGCATCATTAAACCTGAACGGGGCCAGAGAGGCTGTGAAACGTGCACTGGTTTACCAAACCATAAAGTATAAAAAAAATGGACATTTTATTTTTACAAGAGACACACAGTGATCCATCCAATGAGACAGAGTGGCGCAGGGAGTGGGAAGGGGAGGCCATTTTTAGCCACGACACCTCCCAGAGTGCAGGAGTGGGACTCCTCTAAAGCTTTTACTCCCAGCCACATAGAGGAGGTGCAACACATTGTTCAGGGAAGGTGTCTTTTAGTCAAAGCCGGGTTTGAACATTTTAATGTAACTTTTATTAATATTTATGCTCCCACTGCCAATGAAGAGAAACAACGTTTTTTAGAAAAAATTGGGGAAAGGTTGGGAGATTGTGGGTTTGTAGATTATGTTTTTATAGGAGGGGATTTTAATTGTACTGAAAACGAGTTTTTAGACCGCAATCATGCAGAGCCTCATCCAGCAGCCCAGCGCGCTCTGCGGCAGCTGCTCTCGTCTCATGGCCTGGTGGATGTATGGAGGAGGATGCACGCAGGCTCCAGACAGTACACGTGGTCCCACTGTAAAGAGAATCTCATTTCTTTTGCTCGCCTTGACCGGTTTTATTGTTTTAAACATCATTTCAACGTGTTTAAAGCCTGTCGGATTTTACCAGTAGCTTTTACGGATCATTCGCTGGTTTTAGGTTTTTATCAGAAACATTTGACCTAAGAGTGCCTACTGGCATTTTAACTCAGTTTTAACTTATGACCGTAGTTTTAAAGAGATTTTGAGTTATTTTATGAAGGTTTTTAGACCGAGGAAGGGTGATTTTACATGTCTGCAACAGTGGTGGGACCACGGGAAAGTACAAATAAAACAGCTGTGTCAACAGCACACGCTCAATGTTACTCGCAACATCACAAGATCTATCAAAGATCTGGAGACTGATGTAGTGGAACTAGAGCACCTCAGTGAAACCACAGGAAATCGAGAGCACATTGAAGCCCTCAAATCTAAAAGGTTAGTTTTAACAAACCTGCTGGACGCAAAAGTCCAAGGTGCGTTGGTCAGGTCCCGGATGCAGAACATCACAGAGATGGATGCACCTTCCAGCTTCTTCTTCAGCCTGGAGAGGAAGCACGGGCAGAGAAAACTCATCCACTCTCTGTTGTCGGACACCGGGCAGCAGCTGAGCGAGCCGAGCCAGATCAGGAGGAGGGCTGTGGAGTTTTACTCCTCGTTATTCAAAAGCGAATACGAGAGGAACGACGAGCTGTTCAGGGAGTTCTGCAGTGGACTACCCCAGGTCTCTGAGGAGACCAACACCGACCTGGAGTGCCCCCTGGGACTTCAGGAGCTCCACACAGCCCTCCAAAACATGCAAGGCCAGAAAGCTCCCGACGTCGACGGACTCACTGTGGAGTTCTATAAGGCCTACTGGGACATCCTGGCAAAGGATCTGCTCCATGTCTTCAGTGAAAGCCTGACCACTGGTTTGCTCCCGCTGTCGTGCTACAGAGCGGTCGTCACCCTCCTGCCCAAAAAAGGGAACCTGCAGGAGATGAAGAATTGGCGCCCGGTGTCCCTTTTCTGCACCGACTACAAAATCCTCTCCAAGGTCCTGGCAACCAGGATGAGAGAAGCAATGGAACAGGTCATCCATCGAGACCAGACTTATTGCATCCCCAGCAGGTCCATGGTAGATAATATCTATCTGATTCGAGATGTTTTGGAAGTCTCCAGTTCATTGGGTCTGAACACAGCATTGGTCTCACTTGACCAAGAAAAGGCTTTCGACCACGTTGAGCACAGCTTCCTCTGAGAAACCATGGAGGGGTTCGGGTTCAGCGCTGGTTTTATAGCCAAGATCCAGGTGCTGTACAGTAACATTGAGAGTGTGCTGAAAGTCAACGGTAGCCTGTGTGCTCCTTTTAGGGTGTATAGAGGTGTTCGGCAGGGCTGTGCACTCTCTGGAATGCTCTATGCGCTCTCCCTGGAACCCCTCCTTAAAAAGATCCGTTCGAGTGTTCCTGGTTTAGTTTTACCTGGTTTTAACAGTAACATAGTTTTATCCGCCTACACTGATGACGTTGTTGTTTTTATAAAAAACCAACAAGATGCCGACACGTTAAGTGAGCTCACCGAGAGTTTTTCCACCCTGGCTGCTGCGAGGGTGAACTGGGTAAAGAGCACAGCCTTCGCCATGGGTGAGTGGCCTGAAGGGCTCCCAGTTCTCCCTCAAAACCTCCCGTGGAAGAGAGACGGGCTTAAATACCTCGGCATCCATCTAGGGGATGAAGCTCAAGTGCAAAAGAACTGGGAAAATGTGGAACAAAAGGTCAGGAGCAAATTACAAAAATGGAAATGGCTACACACTCAAATGTCCTACAGAGGCAGAGTGTTGGTTTTAAACAACCTGGTCGCATCACAACTGTGGCACAAACTCTGTGTTTTAGACCCACCTCCAGGCCTGTTGGTAAAGATCCAGTCTGAGATGGTGAAGTTTTTTTGGAAAGGTCGACATTGGGTGCCACAGTCTGTACTGTTTTTACCGAGAGAGGAGGGGGGACAGGGCCTTGTCCACCTGGCCAGCAGAACGGCAATGTTTCGATTACAGTTCCTCCAGAAATACCTGGCGGGACCTCCTGACAATGTGTGGAGGGACGTGGCCAGCTGCATTCTTAGACGTGCGAGCGGGTTGGGGCTGGATGCTGCTCTGTTTCTGACCAATGTTAGCATTTTAAAGTTAAAGGGGTTACCCCAGTTTTACCAGAGTGTTTTTAAATTGTTTTCCTTTTTTAACCCAAACAGATCAAGAACGTATAAGTCTCTGCATTGGCTTTTAGAGGAACCGCTAATCTGTGGTGCAAGACTAGACGTTTCCGATAGCACGGTACCAGGTCTGTCAGGGGTGCTGTGTGGGTCTGGGATGGTGACTCTGAGGCGGCTGGTGGAGACGGCCGGTCCGGACTTCTCCAGCGTCCGGGAGGTGCTTTCGCTGCTTGGAGTCCGGTCTGCCAGGCTGGTGCGGCGCTTCCCGGACCACAGCTGCAGGAGACGCTCCTCCCCTGCTGTGATCCTCT